CTTCCGTTTTCCTCTCTATTATTGCGCTCGAAGTTTATTCGTTTCGCCGATATCGAATCGTTCTTTTATTGTATTTCCCGGTGCGAGGGCATACATGCGTGCTTTTCTCATTTCCGACAATGCACGTGACGAATTAACAGTTGGGATGTTTACTAGAGGAAACGGTTTGCATATCAAGTTGTTCTTCTTCCAGACAACCATAAAATTAACCTAATATTGATCCTTCGTTGAAGATTTTTTGTTTCTCCTTGATATCTTTCCGGTACCGAAAAATAGCCCGGAGCTCTGTTCATCGTTTGAAGTTTTCATCGATATAATAAATAAGTACAGATTCCTATTGAAGCCTACACGTACTTCACGGTTTAGAAACAACCAGCATAAAATCAATTTAGTTCGGATATTTACGCTTGGTCTGTGTCTAGTCGAGTCGTACGTATGCAATTGAATAGCATTCAAGGTTCTGCACCCTCTAATATGAATATAATAGACTAAAGGAAATTAAAATGCCCCGGTACGCACGATGGTTAAACATGATATACCGTATATGCGCGTCGATTGTTTCCCGAAGATGCAACAGCAGGGAACCATAGAGCCGAGGCAGCTGAAGCATTTCCGGTCAGATATAATAGTCGTCCTTGATAATAACTTACTGTCGCCCCCCTGCGACCAACCTAGCAATATCAAAACACAAACAGTTATTGTTATATTTATAGAATGTTTGAACGTGAATTACGACAAATGACTTTGTTGCACATAACATGCGTCACGATATTGATTACTTTTGAAAATACGTAAAGCTGCTCCTATTTCTTAATTCCGTCAACGAGGCGAATATACAAGTGCTCAAGATTTTTTGCTACTGCATAATGAAGAGTAAAGTGGAACGATTTGAATTAGTATTTGTTGAACAATTTGTCTGATTCCTTAATTCCACCGTTAGTCAGTTTTCTGTGTAATGAGCATTAAGCGTAATACAAGCAGACCGTTGGTGGCGCATTAGCATTAGCATTTTTGTTCAATTTCCGCGAAAAACGTCGGACTAACGAAGTAGGGAAAAAAAGGCAAAAATGCGAGATCTTATCGTGAGCGGGCAAGCGCTCTATTTATCGATCGTTACTCAAAAGCGGCAACCAGAAACGTAACGAGCTAGCTCTGGCTACATCGGCTTTCCCTGCAGTTGTCGTCGGTGACTCACCTCTCCCCTGTGTCTACCGTCTTGCGGGACAACGATTCAACAATAAAGTGGATCGTTCGATTGCGCAGAATTCTAATGTCACTTACAATAATACGTTCGGCATAACAACTTGTTTCCAGTGATATTTCAATATAACGGGATTCGTAGAGAAACTTAATGATAATTACTACTGTGAAAGCTAATAATAAGAACTAAAAGCACTCACGTGGCCGATACACTCTGTTAATTAATTCTTTACGAATTTATTGAGTTAAAATCCTTTTATAAATTATGAAAGGAGATTAATATTATGTTCTGAAACATTATCAACTTTCACTTCTTAAATGAATATCGAATGTTTTGCAAACACTAACAGTGAATCTAGTTCATTCGAGCAACATACAGAAGTGCATATTAGTAGTTTGGACATTAAGTTCAATGGTAGACAGCTTTCAATTCATTGAACTTAAACAAGCTACGTGTATCGAGTTCATTACACGCAATGTATGTCATATCGCATTTATTGGATTTGATTTGGATATGTGTAAGTATGTAGAGCATTGGACTCGGTACACACCGAACTACGCGCGTGGGCCGCGATTTATGGATCACTTTGGCTCCGCCAGAATCGATTGAGACAATAAAAACCTGATACGAAGAATGATACGGTCCACTGATGTAGAATCATTCGTGAAACCAAAAATCTTGATCCATGCAGTTTTGATTGATTCTAAATTCATACCATTGTTTATAATAGAATGAAGTAATGAATGAAGATGAAAGGTGTCCAATCGTTCATTTAAGTCTTACGTATAAATTACATGCATAATAAGCTTGCTCGTTATGAAAACTTACGAGAATCATTCTCGTATTCACCTTTGATCATAATATAATATTGCACCGACATCGGCGTAGATACAATCATAGTAATTACAATAGCGCTTCATTCCTTGTCAATCGGTATTGCGCAGCAACGTGTTTTTGTTTAAACCGAGCTTCCCCGTTATCTATGCCAAGGTGAATTAAGTTGTTTTAAACATCGCAACGTTCCAATTGTCACATCGATTGACAATATTGGTCCCGATACCGCTGCGTGTTATCTAAGCATTTCTTCTATTTCCGTGTGTTTCGAGTTTCTTAACAATCATCGAATTAAAGGCTCACGATGAACCTTGACCTTCTTTCATGTTGCTGCCGCATTGCAATCGCTACCTTCGGCTGTTTGTCATCACATTCGGTACATATTTTAATGCCTCGTGTTCGCGTCTCCGCTTTAGAAATTAGTAGATCTTCCTAATTTTAGCTGGTTTATATTCCGCGAATATACACGATGTGTTGCTTAAAGCTATAATATATATTCAAATTCCTTTTTTCTATTCTTGCTTTCAATTTTTAACAATATATTAGTGATGCGTAAATCGATGTTATTAAAGCAGAGTTTTGACAAATGTCAAGGTTCGTTGGAAGCCTCTAATATGCACGATCAATAAAAAAATCGATTACCAGGTGACGTGACACGTGTTATCGTACACGCCGTTGATTATGAGTACATCAAAGACATACCGTGCTTTGATTGGGATCGTTTTAATCAAACGTTTACTCTACACGCGTGTATTTCGATACAGTTCCCCACAAAATTTTTTATTTTAAACCTTACATGTCATCTGAGATGTGGGATGGTGTACCATTTATATTATTGTTTCATTATGACAGATAAAGGTGTTGTATTCTTTTAGGTAAAAATAAATATAGATATCTATGTATTTTCATTAATGAATTACTGAAAACGAATCGCGATGTCAATCAACGAATGCATCAAAAACACACTCGACCTATATTGGGGAAGTAAATCGATTTTATCGGCCAACGAATTCTAACAGGCAATGCCCAGGGGGAAGGAACAGCGCTGTGAAATCTTGAGCGACAGATTTCCTCGAGGTCGGTGGCTTAGCGTGAATAAGTAACGCGCACAAGTAACACCTGTTACCTCGGAAGTTAAACAGCCGCTCCAATTAGAGGAACGAGCTTCTTTTTATCGCTGTTCTCGCGACCGAATGAAAGGGAAACCGCGTATAGGCATTTTTCTCTTCGTATCTCATTTCGTGGGGAATGATAAATCGTCGGATGGTTCCCGACTCCGTTCTCGAAATCGCATCGCGTTCGTTAATTATTCGTAATTGCACAAGCCACCGAGAAACGATTTCCGTTTTCTCACAAAACGAAATATACAACGGTTAGAAACGCGATGATTTCCTAAATCAAACGCCGGGTTGTCTGCAAAAAATATAATAAATGCATCTTAATTTCCAGCAGTGACTGGAACCGTTCTGCCACGTTTTCAACTACGAAATTTCAATGTACGAAAGGTAAAACGTGGAGAATCTGTACTAGAGATATGAATATAATTGAATGCTCGTGTTTGTTTGCGTTTCCTAAGGTAATTTCGCCGTAACAGCAATCGCTGAACGAGGGAAGGAGACCCACACTCGGATGCACGTTTTCTACTGGAAACAGGGCAATCCTTTCCGGACTGGCTTCCATTGAAAAGTGTACCCTTCGGTTGGGCTTCCGTCGCGTCACCTGTCAAAATCGATCAAATATGTCACATTCTATTTACGATGACGTGATATACCCGCAGGAACTCGATCGACCGAATCGTTTTACTCGGTACACATTGTGTGTAAACCCCGACGTTCTACGTATCCCCCGACAGAAGAGCGAGTCGGTTTTCATATGAAAAATCAATATCTTTCTCAGACAGACTGCTTGACTTTAATGAAGGAGTCATACGGTTTTATGGATTTTTTGCCCAAAGAGAATGCAATATCCTTGCATACTAGCACACAGTATATTCATTCACGTATTGATCACATCTGTAAAGATCATATATTTTATTCAGACGAAGTCTGTTACGCTTCGCCGTACAAAGGAGAGCAGTACTTGTAGAACGACAGTTTAGATATCGAGCGACAATATTATAGCTTATTGAAACTTGGATAGACGGTGGTTTGCCAATAAACCGAGCGAACCGCTATAACCCTGGATAAATTCCAACGTGCAGTTTCTGTTGGCCGCACACGTGAGCACTCAATGCTGCCCGAAATATTAAAGTAGGCCGGTAGCGAAAACAGATATGATCGCACAAAATTATCCGCTGCCTCGGTCAATTCTGTCTATCCAACCGTTCCTCCGAACGTCTTAATAAATGTACAACGAGGATTAATGTTAATTAGTGTGTTCGCTCGTGTCGCTGAAAGTGACAGCCAGTTATTGGTGTACTCTTTTTATCGAGACGTATTATCTCGTTGCGTTCCACTGCCACGGTTAATTGATTTCATGCGAGCCACGTACGATATTCATAATATGTACATTACTTTAGATATTGTCGTAGACTCAGGATTTCGGAACGAACACTGTCGGAGTTTCGCTAATACTGAGGTATTCAGTCAGCGTGAGTGTCTGCTTCGGCTTCACCGGAATTATTAAAGCGGTATCGTTTGTAGAAATTGCAGTGCCCTGTAGACGTATTTAATAACGTATTGGCGAGATTTATTGCCACGATTAGCATATTTTATTGTCGGACAGCCTTTTACCTTTGGTTTCGATTTACGGACAAAATGGTTATATCATTTGTGATTTATGGTCGAAGTACAGAATGAGTCAAGAAAAATTGCAATATCCTGTTAACAGACTTTTAAAAAAGTAGTGAAATCCAAGAGCAATCAGCTGTTTCGTATGATTATTCTTATTGTTTCATTCAGGATATTTACTACTGCATAAAATATGTTATCGTTTATCAATAAAATATGTGTCATCTGTGTTCCAGGTGATAGACTTTGGTTCTAGCTGCTACGAGAACCAGCGCGTCTATACGTACATTCAAAGTCGATTCTACCGCGCACCGGAGGTGATCCTGGGCGCTAAGTACGGGATGCCGATCGACATGTGGAGCCTCGGCTGCATCCTGGTGGAACTGGTTACCGGTTTCCCACTGCTACCGGGCGAAGACGAGTCGGACCAGCTGGCCTGTATCATCGAGCTGCTAGGCATGCCGCCGCCTCAGCTGTTAGAATCCGCGAAACGGCGTAGGCAGTTCATCAGCTCGAAGGGTTATCCGCGCTATTGTACCGTTATAACGATGTCCGATGGTTCGATCGTGTTGAACGGCGGTTTCTCCAGGAAAGGCAAGGACCGTGGCCCGCCAGGTTCCCGGGATCTCAGGCAAGTTTTGAAGGACTGCGATGATCCATATTTCTTGGATTTCATTCATCGTTGCCTGAAGTGGGACCCGGAGGAACGATTGACGCCCAATAAAGCGTTGAAACACGTATGGCTGCGTCGCAGACTGCCGGAGCTTCCAGAGAAAACGAACGAGGCCTTACCGGCGTTGCCAGTAGCCGCCGCGCCTCCCACCTCCGCGTCCGGCCTCCGTACTTCCGCGTCCGGTAGTAAAAGTGCCACCAAATCGAACAGCCTGCAGAGCAATAACGCTGAGAATAATACGAATAAGCTGAAGCAATTGAGCGACATCTTCCACACCATGTCTACATTGTCTACATTGTCCACCATTCATTCGGCGCTGCAACGCAACGACGGAGGAAGAGGCAGGGGAAGAAGAAGAGGCCAGTCGGTGACGGATCTTCAACCAACCGTCAGCAGTCATCCCTCGTTGAACTCCATTAGTGGTGATGTTAGTAATAGTGGTGGTGGTGGTAGTGGTGGTTGTGATGGTAGTAGCAGTAATGCCAGCGGTGGTCAACAACAGCAGCAACAACCGTTACAGCAACAGCAACAGCCTCAGTCCCAGCCGCAGCCGCAACAGCATAGTCATCAGTTGCAGTTGAAACAGCCACAACAACAGCAACCGCCGCAGCAGCAACAACAACATAGCAATGGTTCACATGGATCCCATGGATCGTCGCAAAGCTCTCACGGGTCTCATGGATCGCATGTACTTAACGACGGATGGAAGATATTCCACGAGTGGCTCGAAATGGTGAACAATGATTAGCAAGGTCGTTGTCGAGGAACAGAGACGACTCGTCGAAACACGAAGTCACCCTTTTTCCTCTTATCCGACGCGTTCATTATGATGATTTTGCGGTTCACCATATCGTATGGTTTCGTGTCTCCCTGATCGGCTATCTCGATGATCAGTTTCGTCACTCGCTACCCGTGGTCGAACTGCATCGAGATGCTATCACATAGTCGGTGTTTCTGCTCGTGGTAACACAAAGGAGCCAGGGTGGCCTCGTCTTTGACCTCCGGATACAGCTGTGATCTACGCGATATGTTACTAAAGAAAAGAAACCACTGAGGGGGTGAAGGGACTGAGAAATCGATCGCGATACCTCGAATCATGTACCTCACCTAGTTTGGCGATGCTGCCTCGCGTTGCTCTTCGATTTGTTTGTTCAGGATCCATTTCTCGTCGCCGATCGCTCGAGGAAAGGGGAGGTGTACGGTCTAGCTGCGCTTAATCGAGGACGATTGCTTTTAGTGTTCACTTTTGTGGTCGATTGCTCGATACGATTTGCTAGGATGCCCTCAGCTTATATATACAATGTTACATGCATCTGTTTTGTATCAGAGTGATGCACGTGTGCGTCCTGTTGTCGTGAAGAGGGGTACGACTACGAGGTTATTGTGCCAAGGGAAGCGGGAGAACTGAAGATTTGCGCCACGTCGATGACTCGATTTCTTCGCAGGTAAGAAGTAGATAGTCAAAGGTGTGTTGACGGGCGACCGCTTTGTGGGTATAAGAAGGAATTTGCTCAATGCAACTCGTAGATACGCAGACATTATCGTGACAGCGCGATACGAGGAGCCCTTTCACATCCGCTAAAAATCTAATCATTAAAGAGCATGTACCTCAACGATGAATAGAATCACGCCGAGGTGCTTTTTAGGTCGGAGGAACTCTCCGTAAGAATATCACTATCGAGCAGAACGTTAGATTGATTTCCAACAGGACGGTATTTGTATTTATTGTTGATTAACATAGGTCAGGCTTGTCTGTCGATTCGTACGAAATCATCAATCAAACAGGAGCTGAAGTCAGTTTCTACGAGAAGAACTTTGATTTATTTTTCTTTCCATTGAAATAAAAAAGATTGCATGGGAACAAAATATTAGTCAAACTTTAGAGACACGCGCCGCGCGTACTAACAATTCATACAGTCTGTACCTTGACGATAACGTATTTTAGAATCGGCTAAAGAATGTGGGCCCGGATCCGTCCGCGACTTTTATTTCCTTCATTTCCAAATTTAATCACGTAAACTTTTGTTGGACCCGATTTTTATTTAATATTTAATGAATCTGAAAGACTGAACGATTGCTAATTTCCAATCAGTATATCGGTCATTATCTTAACTCGTGGTGACGACTCGACGAGGCTGTCTTCCATTTTATCTTATTGCATTGTTTATTTATCTTGTCATTTATCTCAGCATTTAAAAGTTCAATTCTCAGCGTGGATTGCAAGATATGAAATAATATCGCAATACATTAGCGCTCGATGCATTTCATTCGCGACAGTATAATCCGTACGATGCATTTATATTATAAATCGAATCGCATAAAATTAGATTCAAATTCAAAGTTATTGTTATTTCTACTCAATCAAAATTCACTTTGCAATCGAATATCCGAAAGATCGCGCGATTTATTTCGCGTTTATCGCTTTAATAGAGATTATCGGGAATCGAAGACGGAAGGAATGGGGACAAAGATAAATATCGACGTGCACGAATCTCTCTAATGAGGGTGTAATCCGCTCGCGACCCTGGCACAAGCGAATCCATGCTAATTTTAATTTAGACGGAACGGATTAAAGTAACACAGAGAAGTACTACGTACTTCCTCACATCGATGGAAAAGTCGCATGATGGTGTATAGGAATGTATGCGAGATGTGCATGAGCGATGATTAAAGAGAATAGAGAGAGAACGATGGCATGGCGCGCGACGTTAAGACGTATTGATTACAAAAGGGGAGAATGAATAAAGGAAGGCGATAAAATAGCCGATGACGAAACACGACGACCTATGAAAAGTAGAGTCATACAGTCAAGTTTAATAAGAAACGAAGAGGGAATAAGACATGGACGTTTTATTAAATCGTGATACTGAAGAGGATATCTTGTGATATGGAACTTAGTTGTTCATGGGGTTCAAACATTAATGAACATAGATGAATATATATATAGATATATATGAAGTGCGTATATATATTATATTACGTTGTAACGCTAATTACGAAAGGAGAAAAAGAAAACAACGCTATGATTATTAAAAGAGAAACACACATGTAGTCAGAAGTAGCAAGCTAAATAAGATTCGTTACAAGGAGTGAGACTGAGAACCGAACGACGGTCTCGTGAAACGTTGCACGATATGTATCTAATAGTATATTTTCCTTTTTTGTCTTTTTTATTTTTAACTTCTTTTGTGATTATCGTACGTATTCTCTTTTCTTTTTTATACTCCTTTTAGTAGTACACGCACCGTAATCGCGAACTGTTCTCGATTCATTTTACAAGAGGACAAGCATCGGTTCTCTCCTGTTTGATAATGCGTAAGGATCCATCCATTCGTTGATCTAACAACACGAAGGGAAACAGAAGCATCGCCGATTGATGTCTTGTAGTTAGAATCGGACAAATTTTAATTTCACCCGAATTTCAGCGTTAGCAACGTTCCGCGCGGTCGTGATCCAAGAATTGATCGCTAATACCATTGCCAATACCACTTCCTACATAAGTTCGGGTTGTCGTTTTCTCGTAGATACAACAAAAAAGCGACAACAATGCATATATTATTTACAATCGCAGTCTCCCTCGGTGAAAATTTCAATAACGACCTCGTACGTTGTCTTAATCATCGCCATTATCACACATTCGTATGAGAAATTATTATAACAACACGTTGAACGTGACTAGAGCGTGTGCATGTTACAAATAATAGTAAGCCCTTCTTTCTGAAAAGAAAAGAAATGAAAAGCCAGAGGCACAGGTGTAACGCTTTACCAATTATTTCGTTTTTTTTCTTTTTTTTTGTTTTAAATATTAACGTACGTACATTATCCCAGTGTTTATGTTCGATTTGATTTAATCGATCATTCATCGTGTTTTGCTGTGATTAAAAATCTATGTTTGTTGTCTGTGCAAACTTCAGCTCAAAATAAGCGTGTGTATATCTTGTTGACTGATCTCGAAGAATATAGCGCAGAAATTTTGTTCAAGATCGTTCTCCATTTTTTCGGAAAGAGGGATACATCTGTATAAATAAATGATTAGCTCTCTCTACGCTGTCGAGTTCTCCTCTTACTTCTTTTTTTTGTATCGCTTTTTACTATTCATATAACGCGTCCCGGCGCTAATGAAGTTCAAGCGATAGTTTTAAGTTTATAGCGTACACGAGAAGGATATAAAACGCATACGGTTCAAAGGCCGAGACTATAGCTCAAGACAAACGAGGGTATGTTACAATTGTTTAAGAAGTGCGTTTGAAGATTTTTCTTCTTAGGAGATTTCATTGCTTATCACTACTTCGATATGTTCGTCTTACATTTTCTTTCACGTCTCTTGGCAATATATAATTACTTTGAGATTGTTATAAATTGATTTACTTTTCGACACGCTAAAAAATCGAGGCTCGAAGTCGGTACATCTGATCTATAAGCTCTGCACGAGTCATTCGGCTGGTGAATTGATACCCGACTTGACATCAAAGCTGACCATTAAAAATAGAACACCACCGTGAATTTTTACGGACATTAGCTTGGCGGAAATACATATTAAAGCCTAACAACCGGCTACCGGCTCCCTGTACTTGTGTATCGTCCCCGGATGTGCCCTCTTCGGTTCATATATGAACACGGAAAATGTAGGGCGCTCGACGTTTCGACGACAAACGACAAAAGACCTGAGAGACCAGAGGGAACGGTTCGATCGATCGAAAAAAAGGAGCAAGGGATTACTGGTCGGTGGACTTTTGCATTTTCAGCCACAGCCTTTTCCACCCTCGTCTAGTCACCGGTTCAAAATGACTCGCGCGGGGCGAACCAAGTAGAGCGGAGATGTAATGTTGAAACTACTACGGAAAAACGGCCAAGAACTGTAGTGCTCTTTTGGCGTTTTAAAACAACGACGTGGTCGCTGGACCGAGTACTTTCCGATTTTCTTTGTAGAGCAACGAAACGAGATACGGAATTAATCGTATTCGAACGACCATCGCATTTGATCAACCAATTAATTACCTCCGTTAAAAGTGTTATGAACAATGCGTTATCTGATTTGATGGCATATTTTAAACGTTGTTGTTACGCGTTCGTGTCACGGTGCGTATATAATACGTGTATCAGGCTGGATACTATTTGCATATATATTATATACACACATGCAATGTGTGTTGTACGTCCCAGTGTACTGCGTCATGGTATATGTATTTTAACATGGGTATTGGACGCTCGAAGCAAGTCGTTTGATCGAGAAAACGCGGTCGGATCAACGACGTTGTTCTACCCTTGTCGGTTGATTGTGTTATCGCGTTGAGATAGATGATTCCTAGTCTTGTGTCTGATTTTTATCTTTAGATTGTTCAAAAACAATTGCGAGTACTTCATAAATCATTATGGTTTATTAATGATGAGAGAGACTATAAAAAGCAATAGAAGAGTTCGAATATATTGCAATCATATCTTGATGTTTGTATACTGTGCTGTTCAAATTGAACAAAAATGAAAATTGAAAAGAAAGAGAAGAGAGGAAGCACATATTAGAAAGAATTTTAATAGCGACGGACCTTAGAACAAGAAAAATTAGTATTATAAAATCATTTTCAACCTTAGTTTTTCTTGCGTCATCTGGCTAGGTAAGTTTAAATTGTGTAGACTATATAAGTCATGAGAGTTACGAAGGGCACGATAATAAGGGTATTCGCGAATTTATCGAATTGATCAGCTACTACATGGTGTGTTCCAAGTTCGTTGAACGCAACCGCCTCGTTCCGTGACCTTCCCTCTTACCCATCATGCCATCTCGGTGAATCTCATCACTCACTTCTCTTTCTCCCTTTCGCTTGTTCCAGTTGTGATCGTTCGACAAATGAAACGGGGTTGGAACTCCGGTCCGTTCTATCCCGCTTCTAAAATTTGTATATACGTCTCCGCTCTTGAAATCGTTTAATTGTGCTCTTCATGGATCGAACTTGACCCTCGATAGCGTGCCGCGAAACAACGATCGTTGCGATTGAATTTTGTTTGGTTTTGACGCGGAACACACCCGACATATGAGGGCTCGAACGAACAAAAGTAATAATGAAGTAAAATATTAAACTACTAGTGGTAAACGATTTAAGCCGTAATAGTAGGTAAAGGATGGGAGTCTAATGTTAATCGGATCGAAGTTAAACGAATAAAACGGAATAAGTAAGGAGAACGATGAAACGAAGTAACTGAACAAAAGATACTGAAAACATGCGAAGAATAATAATTTCTGGTAGATTACGAATGGTTCCCATAATCTATCCGTTTCTTATATAATTTGATTTGTTGTGTATTTATTTCTCGAACGATACGTTTCGATATGTATCTATTTTAACCGGTGTCTCCCTTACGAAAGGAACGACCAGTTGATCGTGAGCCGCGGCGTATCACGACTTTTATTTCACGTTCAACGAAGCGTGCATTTTTATCCGCTGTGAAACGCTCTACCTTCGCCGTCATTGTGTATTTTATTGGCCGAACGAGTGCGCGTAGAAATCACTTGGATTCACCAAAAGATTTATATAGAAATTCGAGGTTCGATGTAGAAAATCAAAATCGGGTCATTGATTTTTATCTTTACGCGAATAAAATCAGTCGCTATATCCACTCCGTTCTTCTTTAAATAAAAGCAGCTACATATGATAATGTGTTAATCAATGTGCAAAACGATTATGTCATGGCTCGATAAAATATATAATAAAAGCGTAGGTAAGATTGGAATACGATGTTACTGCGTCCGAAAAGGGAAACTGTTCTACTGAGGGATTCATAAGGCAAATCCTCGTCAGTTTTATTTTATCTAAAGTTCGAAGAAGTACTTCTCTGCAATATCTGTTTTGCAGACTTAATCTTGTCACCAAGAAGAGATACTAATAAGTACAGTATTAATTAAATCGTAAAAGTTTCTTTTGACGAGTGTTATTTCTTTATGAATTCCACAATGAAAAACAAATGGAAAACGATCTAAATAAAGCATGCTGCCGTTAGAACGCTGGAGGGTGCTCACGTTGTCTGTATGAATGAAAAAAAATAATAAAAAATACTGTACAAATCATGTATACGCTCACAAACATAGACATACACATAAATCCCTGGGTTAAATGATGTTCATTTGGCACACGCCCGTTTCTGCACATGCTCGTCGTTCTTCTACTCACGGACCGTTTTCCGAAAGTGGTCCTCGTTGGTTCCACGGTAATATTTATTTCTTATTATCGTCCTTAATCGACCCGCTACCCGCTTAAGGCCTTTTATATATTTTTTAATTCGCCGCGAAGCGAGTTCCGTTCGACCGCTCGCCGCTGCAACAAATTAATTACACAACAAGGTAACAAGTAAAGGAACATGTGCGTGCGTTACAAAGGGTAACAAGTAAAGGAACGCGTGCGTGAACGAGAGTGAGTGTATGCGCGAGAGGAACGAGAAGAAGAGTATGTAATAATGTCGTTTCACGTGTAAAGATAATTTGTATAGTATTTTCATCATTCGTTCGCACCCTAATTTTAATTGAACTCGGACTTTTAACGATCGTCTTGTATCCTGATTGTGTTCCTCGATTTGTATGGATATACATGTATAAAAAAAAAAGAAGATAAAAGAAGTGATGTAGGAAACGAGTTGCCCCCGAAGAAGAAGGATGGACGGTTTTATAAAAAATGAAGAGTAGTCAACTTTAGTACCTTTATAGATACAACATGCTCTCTTCTTTTCTTTGTTAAATGAACGATCGTCGCTCGCGAATTGGTTGCAGCGGCAGCTTGAAATCGTCCTCATCGTCGTCGAAGTTGTTGCACGCTATTTTCGCATCCTGGTCTGAGAGAGTGTGCGTCTCGATATATCATTTTCACTTGTTAATACTCTCTCATTTTAGCGTATCGATTAACGTGGTTAAGTTCCGTAGGATAAAATGCGATTTCTTATGCGGCAATGCAAACCTTTGATCTCTAACACGCGCGCATACGATACTACACTTATAGTATAATGAATCTAACGCGCGCGAACAATACGTGTAGGTAATGTGCGTAAAAATTAGTAAACGAAAATGCGAAGAATCATTGCTCGTCGTTGCGTCCAGCATCCCCTGCCGGTTTTCGCTCCTTTATGCTCGCCGAATTCCTCGAGCACAGAAGAGATCGAGTAGCCGGGTTATTTTACATCCTCTGACATAGGGAAAACCGTGGCTTATTCATCTACATATATACATATACGTATTTGAGATACGTACGTACATATATATATGTTAAGTGAAGTGTATGTGGATTCGATTCGAGCGTTTTCGGTGAGTCGACGTGTAAGTGGTACATACACGTATAAAGAATATGACGGACACGCGTATATAGTTATTATTAACGAATTGTCGTGGTCACGTAGCGTCGGAAAACCCCTGGAAACCTCCGATACGCAAACGTGAATTGTAATGCGTTCTCGACAACGCGAAACTGATTTTTTAAAGAACTACTCTGATTAATAAGAAACGAAATAAACGCTGCTTAAAACAGTTATATCGATTGTTGTGATTCCTCGTCTCCTGTCAGACGTCCCGTGACATCACGTATAGAAGATGCAATGTATATTTAAAGATGAAATGTATTTTCTTTGTTTGTCTTTGTTTTTTGTGTGTTACTAGAAATTTATGGGTCCTATTATAGCTTATAATATTTATTGCCTGCTCGGAGTGAATGGAAGGAAGATAACTGGAAATGAATTGGCTGAATTTTATGAAGCGTTTTACGGTTTCATTGAATAAATAAGAAAGGAAAAAAGGGGCAAGACATATCGTGGAAGACATCTGCAAAGGTAGAGTCAGGCTTTCTGCCAAAGCAGTAAATCTTCGCCGTACGTCATTGACGGAAATTTCTGTTAAAAAATCAGTAGCCACCGAGGATGTACGTAAGGCTTTTTTCTTTTATTTCATTGTTCCAATCTTTGTTACACATTGACAGAGCGTCTCTTTATACGAACACGTAAGTTTAATATAGAATGATTAATTAATCATTATTAGAAAAAAATGCTTTGATATTGTGAATCTTCGGATAGCATCGATAATTTCTCGATGATCGTATTCCTATCTCTATTTTTTTCGTTGTTATGCTTGCGAAGAAAAGTTTTAGCCGAGCTGGTTCTTTCTTCCAAACAGCTGAATAATAATGATTATCATGCCTGACGGAAATGCAAGCTGCCTACGTAAATGTAATCAAGCTATCTAATCTGATAACAGATAGGTGAGTAAATAAGTACATTGTTACCCTGTCTACGTATAAAGGAATCATCTGCTCCAGATCGCGGTTTCAAGGTATTCTGCTTTGTTAGTTCAACATCAATTTGGTACACGATATAATGATATAAATAATTGAAAAACAACAGACAGCAATAATTAATAGCAGATTATATAATAAAGTATAAAAATGCATGAACACACAAAAACAATGTGTTATTGAATAAGGAATGATGCGATTCTTTCGCCTAAAGCTCCGGGGGTTAATTAATCAGAATATCGACAAGCGTCTCGTATTACTTGGCTCCGTAGTTTCTGTTAAGCGAGTCGTTAATCATTGACACTCAACATGGGTCGGCATCGATTTTCGTCCGCGCTAAGTGTGTCACACTTGCTTTGCAAGTATTTTTATCCTGATAGACCGTTTCAAAGAAACGAGGGATCGTCTACGTCCGCTCAGTCTTGGCGTAGAATCAACCAGGCGGGAAGAAGCATGGGCAATCTGGAATATGTTCGGATTGCAAATATTGCAATTATCTGACATTGACTGCTTTCCGGGTCGAATTTATTTTTAATCCAGCGACATACACAGTTCACGGGAGTTACGTCAAGCAGGCTAGGCGTGGATGATTTGCTCTCGTATACTTCGACAGATCGTCTATCAGTGATCGATTGATCAACGCCTCATACGATCTGCATGATACAATACATAATACGTACTGTTCCTTTTATTCGTATCTACGTACACAGCACCTTTAAATCATTTTCGCAGTAGAACTTTCAACAGTTCTATTACGCCCCTGTATCTTATACAAATGATCTTTAATTTCTTAAGGTAATTCGCTATTTGGGTAACGTATCAAGAGAGGGCCCTACAATGGGCTTATTTTAAAATAAGAATATGAAGTGAAACTTTCATTATTAAATGTATATTATCATCTCCACATTCATACATTTTAATATTATATTACAAAAAAGTATAGACAAAGTAAAATAAACAAGTTTTTATTTACGATTGGGTCGATGATGGGGTGATAAAAGTATTATTCATTAGGTTTGATCATTATTATTTCGTTCGTTTCCACGGAAACCTATATTTTCCTTTATATCATCGCATTCCTCGTAAAAAATCTATAACCATCTATTTTTTTTTATTGAAAACGTATATGATATGAAGTCGCACGAGATATTTATACAAAAATTTCCATAAGCTCCCCGTGTTAAAAGTAAGAATTTTTTTAAACAATTTTCACGGAAACCCTACATTTTCTTTACGGAAAATGAAAATTCGCAACTTTAAGGAGCCTACCCAGTGTGAAATTTTCAAAAAATGGATCTTTTTTTGCATTTTTCGAAAGTTTTATCTCCCTAGTTTTGTCGATTTACGCGACAATTGTAAGTAACAGAATTCTCTAATAAATACTCAGATAATTAACAAAAATTTGAAAATATGTAGTGTTCAAGTCGATCAAGTTGTTTAAGAATTATCGAGTAGAACTAAACACCAACACGAGATTATCTTGTTTTATTTGGACCGTAATGCATAATACGCAGTGAATTAATGTCGCCGGGACAATGATCCCGCGAATGGTTTCGGCATTTGTCGGAGGGTAAACCGGTCTTTAAGAGTCGAAAGAGGATATCGAACCTGTGCCACTGTTCCTGTCTTGATACCGACCACTTATTTTTGGTCCGGCCAAATTCAATGGCAAAAGAGGTACTGGTTGGTTGCCAGCCAGTGCTTCAGTAGCACGTTGTCTTTTTACAGGCTCCTTGGGATACCATGTATATGTATACAAGACAGCGTACGGTATTTCGCCCTTATGAGGATTCCTCGGAGAACGAAACAATCATTAAACGTAAATATTTGGATTATCCGCTGAAACTAGTTACAGAGTTCTATTTTCCGGTTAATTCTCGACAATTACGAATAACCTATGAGGTCGATTTTCCCCTTTTCCACGTTCTTAATCATTGAATTTCAAAAATAAAAAGAACTTATGTAAAAATAATTCACTGCATATTCAGTCTTTATGCTTAAGACAATAATAATTAAATGTACGTGGTTTTACATTTCTTATAATAGCATAAGAATGAATAAGCAAGTTTTATAACGAAATTTCAAATTCATAAAGTTAGTCTCATAGTCCCTACCTGGGGGCGCACAAATATCAGAGAGAAAAATGAGAGTGCTCACTTCTTTGTTGTCGAATGAAGCCGCAACGAAAGTGCTGCACCTTGCGGCCAGTTCGGGAGGAGGCTCCACC